GCCTTTTGTTTTGCTGTTCGATGAGAGTATCGACGATTTAGTAGTACAGAACGAGTCGGACGATTATCTTTACTACGATTTCCGCTCGTGTGATTTTGGCCAGTTGAAAACGGCTCTAGCTGCCATTGACTGGGATTCCTAACCGCTAACCGGGCCATTGGATAGAACATTATCAGCATTCTATGACAAGCTGTATGCAGTGCTTAACGACTATGTTCTTCGGAAAAGACGATCGTTTAATTCAATTTTCAGCAAGCCATCGTAACATCCTAAGGAAAGCACGTCACCGTTTCTTCCTTTCGAAGTCTGAGAGCGACCGTAATTACCTTCGGGAAGTAGAGCTGCAGTACAAAACAATTCTATTATCCACGTACGATAACTACTTACTCAGGATCCAGGACAGCGTGAAACAAAACCCATCGTGCTTCTGGGATTTCGTGAAAAAGCGGCAAGCATCTTCTCGCATCCCATGCAACGTTACCATCAATGATGCCCAGGCTAATACAAATGAGGATGCTGCAAACCTTTTCGCCGTGTTCTTCGAGTGCGTTTTTAGTAAAGTGTCACCTGTACCAAGGCGCGATTGTTTTGCTCACGTTCCTTCGCACAACATCAACCTACCCGTTATTCAGTGTTCCGCAAATGAAGTAGTAGAAGTCATCGATGAGCTTGACATCAAAAAAGGACCTGGGACGGACGGAATACCACCCCTGTTGCTGAAAAACTGTTCAAGAGAACTAGCGAACCCAATAGCTCGCTTATTCAACCGATCACTTCACGAAAGAACCTTTCCGACATCGTGGAAAGCTGCTTGTATTGTTCCTATTCACAAATCTGGCAACTGTAATCAGGTGACAAATTATCGCGGCGTATCTATACTTTGCTGTCTCAGCAAAGTGTTTGAAAGACTAGTGCACAACGTTCTATACAACGTAGCGTCTCCAAACAGCATGGCTTTATGAAGCATCGTTCTACAACAACGAACCTCATGTGTTACGTGATCGCACTGTCCCGCGAAGTAGAAGAGAGGTGGCAAGTTGACACGGTGTATGTTGACATTGCGAAAGCCTTCGACACTGTACCGCACATTCTAGCCGAGGAAAAACTGAAGCACATAGATTTTCCAGATGGGATTACAAAGTGGATACATTCGTACTTGTGCGATCGTACTGCATATGCTGCGTTCAACTCGACTCAATCCCGCACTTTCAAAACACGTCTGGTGTACCCCAAGGAAGCGTTCTGGGACCATTAATATTCAACATTTTTATAAATGACCTGTGTCTGCTGCTTTCCTCGTTTAAGCTTTCATTCGCTGATGACCTAAAATGTATCCTGTGATAGCTTCTCTTCCGGATTGTATTGCACTGCAAGAAGATATTGATACTATACTGGTATGGTGTGGCGATAACGGCATGCGGGTCAATAACATGAACTGCAAAGTTATTACCTTCGGTCGCTGCAATAACCCCATTCTTCATCAATACAGAATGGAAACTGCATCATTGGAACGTGTGTCGTCCATCTGTGACCTTAGCGTTACCATCGATTCGAGGTTCAGATTCAACGAACACGTTACCACTGCCAAAGCTTTTTCTGTGCTGGGATTCATCCGTCGCCACGCTTCCGAGTTCACCGACATCCACGCTTTAAAAACTCTATATTGCTCGTTGGTTCGTAGCATTCTGGAGTACGCTGCTCCGATTTGGTTCCCTTATTATGTAGCTCATGTTCTCACGATTGAACGGGTGCAGAAAAGGTTCTTACAGTTTGCACTGAGACAACTTCCTTGGAACGATCCGACCAATCTTCCTCCTTATTCTGACCGATGCAAGCTCATAGGATTGGAACCACTATCTGTCAGACGAGTAACGATGCAGCGGCTATTTATTTTCGATGTCATTGGAGGATCTATAGTTTGCCCTGAACTTCTCGCACAGATCCCGCTCAACATTCCTCCTCGACGGCTTCGGAGCACGGCTTCAATAGCAGTCCCATATCACAGAACAAACTACGGCTACAACAACCCTTTCGATTCGTGTCTTCGCTTGTTCAATGTTGTCTATGACGAATTCGATTTTAACTTGACTAAAAACGTTTTTAGAAATAGGATTAGTAGTAATTTATAGTTTATAAGTAAAATAGTTCAGTCTGTACGACTAGTCGAAGACGGTGATAAATAAATAAATAAATAAATAAATAAGGATTCCTGACATAGGATCCATATAATATTTTGGTTGCTTCCAGGCATGGCAAATCATTCACATTTATTTCGCGCATTCGTTTGCCTCAAACTTTTTCCATCAAAAGAATTTCGTAAAAAGATCTTTGCAGCTTTTGAAGCGTTTGGTATTAACTAAAACTTTTGTCAATAACTCAAATCTGTACCTCTTATACATGATGAACTAGAACGGTCAGAACTTGTTATTATTTTTCAGTGAATGTGGTGACATTTTCAGATAAGTATTTGACTCTTTTTATCATGAAATTTTAGTTGAAATTATTATAAAAACAATTTCCGTGAATATTTTCCCCAGAAACACTATATTTTTGTTAGCAACTTTGTCTCAGACTTCATTTCAATCAAAAGTAAAGCATTCATGCTGAAATTCACAGCAGTGAAAAAAAGAAGTTTCAAGCATGAAAAAACTACAAGGTACAACCTTATGGGGTTGTACGCAATGGTGACGTAGGATTACGTGGTCTAATATAATAAATCTTATTTTTTAACTGCAGCAGGAGCTTGTTTTTTGTGTAGGAATAGAAATTTGAGCGGGGTTCTCTCTGTTTATACTCTTTAGTATGACGTGCTTGACATAGATGGCCCACAGCGACTCACGAAGAGCTACTGATTCCGATCAATAGCGGTGCGGGTTCTTCCTCCTTCTATGAATGCTCATGTGGGCTGCAGCTCGCTGCTTGCGGGCAGCCTTTCGTTGTGTACTGGAGAACACCACCACTCACCACGCGGTGATTGAATAAACACCGTTCGGTGAGACCAGATGCAATTGAACTTTGAAATCTGTGTTAGGGAAAACACTTGCCACAGGCAATCAGTGATAGTTTTAATTATCGTAGCAACAGTTGCACATTCGTACAATTTTCAATAGTGAAATTTTGACTGATGCGTAGGAATATTTCTGATCGATTGATGATAAAAATATTGAAATTGGCCCAGGAGCAGCTGAGCTATGAACGTTCAAAATCTTTCATAATTATGTTACATGTTCCATTTTCGGTTTTCACAAAGTGTACCTCCATATAGAAACCACAGACGTAGTCCTTTGTCAAAATCATTAGAAAATTTTGCATTACCCTGGCCACGATTTTCCTCCTTCGTGAAAATTTTCGTGGAAAACAATTTTCAGATTATCTTTTTTATGAATTACAGAGATAATTTAAGCTAGAATTAAACTAAAATTTTCCGGGAAACTTTAAAACCCTGATTTTTTTAAATTGCGTTTCGTCTAAATAACCATAAACTCTATCTTTGGGCTAAATTTTATAAAACTCTGAGACCCTTCAACCCATTTCTACTGGATAATCCTAAACTGCTCGAATCTATTACCAGTATTTCGGTAAGTACATGGCTTAGATAACTGATTTTCCTGAGGTTTTCTCCGTTGAATAGTCTACTACCGATGGACGAACGCGAATCACGTATCGGAGGAAGTCAATTTTCGATTATTGACCACCTGAATCCCCACAGTGCACAGTGCACCGTCGTCGTTGTCGTTGTCGACGGTTAATGTAAACACCAATGAATGATTCGATTTCCAATCGCTGCGGGCGCCGGGTGGGTTGGTGGAAGGGGTGGTTCGGCACAATGAGCGGATTTGATCGAGCTTCGATTCTTTGTTGTTTATTTGGCTTGTTCGAATCATATTTTACGCTAGTAGGTACAAAATGGGGCTGTGGGAGGGTGGACTCCCCACATCAACCCGCTTCTTCCTATTCAGTCTCTGTTTGCATTTTAGTATTTCAGATTCGTGCTTCGCAATAACGGACAAGTGCTAGTTTTATTTGTTTTCGTTTTGGATACAAAGCAAATACAATTCCTAGTGTATATGAAATCGGAAACTACTTACTACTCTAGAAGAAGAGAAACGCTGATCTACACAAGCAGGGATTGGAAATTTGATGGCATTGTTAGAAAGGTGTCTAGATTTAGGATAAACAGAGATCGATCAAGTGTAGGAGGTAGGCAGTTTACTTACGATGCACTTTTCACTGGTTTATTGAGGGTTCCGAAAATAAGCCAGATCTATTGAACTCGACAGTCAAGCGTGCAGCTCGTTGTACACGGGCAATCAATTAATATTTGTAAATCATCTTGCTTATTTTCGCAACACTAAAGCAAAATGGACCATTAACGCTCCTTTGTGAGTTTTCTACCGGAAAAGATTCGACATCAACTTCAAACACTACCTATTGCTCGAGGCGGGACACTGCAGTAGCAGCTCGACGTCGCTTCGGTCGTATTCAATTAACACAAATTTGTATCCTTGGGGGGTTTGAGAGGTGAGCGCACGCCTTCGAGGAAACACGCTGACTGTCAGGGACCATCCCGGTGCTGTCCGTCAGCAGCTCAAACTCAATTAGTGTCCCTCAAGATGTTCTTCATTTCAGCTTATCAATTATTACTAGCCAATCAGCGCGTATTTTTTCCAATTATATCCCTGCCGATGGTGATTGTCGTTTTCTGTTTCAATTTTAATTCCTCGTCCAGCTCAGCCGAGTAGCAATAGACAGTGTATTGGGTTAGCTAGAGTGGTGGACTCTATTCTCTATTTATTTTTTTACATGGGTTTCAAAGCTATGTTTCTATGACTAGGGGAAGTATAAGTACTAGAGGCTAAGTGGGCGGGGAGCTCAAGCGGAGGGAAATTAGATAGAAGCTCATGCGGCGCGTTCGATGGGTTGGTGGTGGTGGTGGTGGTGGTGGGTGTGATGATCATCATCCACAGGAGAGGGGCTAATCAATCGATAACATTACTTACATGGAGCGGGATGCGTTGGTTCAGGGATTTGTTCTTGTTTTTCTTGAACGAACAGAGCAACAGTTCACGCATTCCCTTGCGGAAGTTCCGGCTGAGGAAGGCGTACAGCAGCGGGTTGACGCCCGAGTTGAAGTACGTCACCAGAAAGGTGAGTGGTGTGAACAGGGCATTGAAGTTCGAATCGCCCTTGTAGTCTGTGGACCTGGAAGGAGGATAGGGGAAATGATGAGAATTAATAATAGTAATTAATAGCTGATTGTACTGTTCAAAAAGACCAACCGAAATTGTACAAGCCTCGTGGACAGTGGCCCAGGAATGAAATTTGAACAGGAAAAAAAATTACACTCTGGGATTGCATCGAATTGAGTTGACGTCTTCAGTAAAGCCTCTTGTACAAAAAAGAGGTTTGTTGTCTTTGGCAAAGTTGTAGAACGTAAAATTTTATGAAAAGTTACCCAAGACTGTATATTTTCAAACGATTGAGATATATGAAGTTTTATTAAATTTACCTGAAATTCATGTTTTTAGTACACTGAAACCACCATTTACGAAGCCTTTTTTACGCAGAATTCTGTTTACGTCCTTTTTTTACGAACGAATTCCCAAATAATGATGCCAAAGTGTATGCATCGCAAAAAGGGTTGCCATTTAAAGTTCTTTTCGTTTTGGATAACGGAAAGATTCAAAATTTCCTGTGAAATGAATAGTGTGATCATTACGTCTCGCACGCTGAGCCGGCCAAGACGTACTGGTCTCGTTGTACGACACTATAGTCCGATATTTTTTGAGTTTTTCCCCACACGAGGGTTTTTTTTTCTCACCAAAGTTATTTGGCATAGTGTTATAGATAACAAGTGCGCGAGTGAGGAAGC